TGGGAGTACCAGCTTTGCCCCAAGTCCAGGAGCTTTAGGATGGCGCGAGGAGCGCCGAGGGGAAAGGAGAGTTTGGGGGTCCGGGCCCGTACTCCAGGACGGATCGTGGGAGGACAGAAGCTCCGGCGAGGAGGGCTCCGGCGAGGAGGGCTCCAGCGCGCGCGCATGTCGAGAGCGTGAGACTGTGTGGCTGTTAGTGTTGCTGTATCTGAGCGTGTGAAAGAGTTTGTGTGGCACATCGCGTCCCCGAGTGCGCACTGACTGGGGTGTGCGGTGTGCGTGGGAGCCGGCGTACACCGGCATTACTGACTCCGTGAGGGTTTGCGCGCGCGACGGGCTTGTTTTCCTAATGCGCGCAGGAATGTGCGTGTCCCGGGGTCCGCGTGATAGGTTTGCGCAGCGCGGATGAGCTCCCATTTTCCGACTACCGTTTTCTGGATTTGGGGGAATCACCAGCGAGTCTCAGAGGATCAGCGACCAGGATTCCTGAGTGCGCGGTCAGCCGCTTCTGCGCTGAATTCGGCGCCGCAGCGCCCTGGAGGTGCGCAGCCATTGACCCACCCGGAGCGATCTCCGCTGCTTCGCCGTATCCCTGCTCAGTGACTTCTGTCTCCGCTGGCTCCCTGTCCCCGCTAGAGGACTATGGACTGGAGCCCTCCGCTTCAAGCCTCAGTTTCACCATTCGTTCTAAGAGGGCTGGTCGCGGTGGAGGCGGATTTGGGTGGGAGGACCCAGGGGGCGTCACAGGAATGCGCGCGTGACTATGGTCGTCCCCAAGTTTGGGATCTTGAGAGCCATTGCTGCTCGGACTAAGAGGCTTGGCATCAGGTGAGTTAGGGTTGAGGTAGGTGTGGTGGCGCAAAGCTATTTGAGACCTGAGACCTAAACCGTGGGGGCAGTGAACTGCCAAACTTGGGCCCAGCAAGAAAAGAATCTGCTTCCCTCATTCTAATGCGCCTGTACCTTCTCCCCACTTCAGGAGCCTGGGTGAACCCCACTCGTGCGCCTCGCCCAGGAGCCATGCATTGCGAGGTGGCCGAGGTACTTTCAGACAAGAGGCCCAAGGAGGCCCCCGGTGTCCCAGGCCCTGGTCTTGGAGCGCATATGGCCTTCAGGGTCACGGTGAGTGGCGGTGGCTGCGTTGATGGAGGCCCGCGGGACTTGCTACCTCGGCTGCCTGTGCCACCCCAGCGCACCCACGACCTCCTCAGGCCCCGAAGTCCCCGAGACTACAGCTCGTCCAAGGCTGCCTTCACTGGAAAGGGTAAGTTGGGATCTGCCAAAGTGCCTGGCCGCGGGTGTGAGAGATTCCTTTGTAGGGATACTCTGGAGAACTTGGTGAAACTTTCTCCGGAGTTCCTCAGTTTCTCTTTTGTTGTTTCGAACTAACTTGACAGTCTTGAAAGGATCCCTGCTTTAAGAAGCATCTAATTTAAACTCAATAAGCACATTTTGGGGAAATGTGCACAGAAAGTTCAGATTACATAATTTTGCTTCTGTATGTTTCTGATAAAGGTTGTGTGAAATGTCAAAATTTTATTATATGTTAGGGGGAGTAGGAACTCCTGTAACTGGTATTTGTTTTTGAGTGGCAGAAAGCATACTTTGAAGTGTTCCAATTGCCTTAAATAACAAAAACCAGAGGCCTTCAGCAGGACCCTCTCCCCTCTTGGGACCTCAGTTTCCCCATCTTTCAAGTGAGGAATTTGTTATGCCAGACGGTTTCTAGATTCTTGATGGAAAAGTTTCTGAATCTATAATCCAGCCTGGGTCAGGTCTTGACTTAAAAATATCTTTTCTGTACTTGGTGCTCTGGAAGGGTCCTCTTGGCCAGAAGTCATTTTTCAATGTCCTCTGCAACCACTGAAGCTGGTGAATAGAAGGCAGGCCCAGTACAGGTCATGGCTCAACTCAGGGATGCCTTTGCTATTCTCACAAACATGCTCATCTCATCACAGTTAATTATTGAGCCATTATTTATAGACTCCATGCTGACAGATAATTAACCAGAAATTGGAGAAATTGTTAAGGTCCTGTGCCCATCCTCCCCTGTTTTTTTCTCCTTTGGGAGAAACTGAAACTTTGGGGCTTGATCATATCAGCACTTGGGACCTCTTCAGTCTTTTTCCAGGTGATTTTTAAGGAAGATGATAATTGTGTGTTTTATGGCTGGGGACATCCCTTCCTCAGCATCAGCCCAGCTCCTTAAAAGAGGTAGGCTGGCTGGCTTCCCAGTTTGGGGCCTGGTCAAATGAAATAAAAGTATAGTAGTTTTACTTTTTTAAAGAAAACACCTGACTTCATACACAAGAGCTATTTCTTCGTGTGTGTGTGTGTGTGTGTGTGTGTGTGTATATTTTTAGTTGTAGATGGACATAATATTTTTATTTTATTTATTTATTTATTTTTATGTAGTGCTAAGGATCGAACCCGGTGCCTCACGCATGCGAGGCAAGCGCTCAACCACTGAGCTACAACCCCAGCCTCAAGAGCTATTTCTTGTCTTCTTGTCTTAAGCATCAGTCTCTTCTCCAAGAGATAAAGATCATAGTTTAGGATAGATATGGGAAAGAATACATACAGAGTATTACCACTGGAATACACATACAAAGTCTCTTTTACCAGGGAGAGAGAAATGCTGCATAGCAAGACGAGTTATGTTTGCCCTGCTCCACACACGGTCCTCCCTTCCACACATACTCTCCTGTAACGACTTGTGTTTAAAAAAATCATGGCTGTCATCTGCAGATTCAGTTCTCCGAAGTGTTAGTGAATGCTTGTCCCAGACATAACCTTTATTGCACGCTGTGGTTAGAGACCTTTCATCTGATGCTTTGCCTACGATCTTTCTACTTGTAGTCCTCCAAACCCCAATTATTTTTGCTTATGTCTAAAATAAGGCACATTGCATTTGGAAAGGACAGAGGAAGATAAAGGGATAGGAGAAAGAGCCCCTTGCTTTGTACCTTAAATTGGACTCTGTGGTTACTTTTTCTCTGAAAGGATTTTAAACTGCTTTTCTTCACAGCCTCCTGGTGAGGCTGATGGGATGGGATTTAACACACCTTTGAAAGATGAGGAAACTGAGGTCTGCAGGTGGGGAAAGTGTCTGCTATGTAGAAGGCCACCCAGCAGGTCAGGGGCTCTGCCATCATCCCGCCTGGGGAGAAGGGAAATCTCAGGACAGGGACTAGGAGAGGTTTCCGACCTGGCCTCTGTGTTGCTGTAGGCATATTCCTCACAGTCAAGCCAAGTGGCCTGAAAGGAAACCAGCACCCCCCAAGGGATCTTCAGCAGCCCTCTAGACATGCCATTAAGGAAGAGGCACCTTTTTGCAGTGCTCACCCCCACCAAAATAGTCAGCAGGCCACGTAACCCTTTGAAAGTGAGGTGCCTAGCTCCAAGCTCTCAGGCTTATTGGAAACAGACAGACAGAAATACCAATTTAAACATATTTATTAGCTGTGCTGGAAATGATAAGACTCTGCCACATAGGCTCTGTGGGATGCTGGAGGATGTTATTTCACTCCTCTGAGCCTCAGGTGTCCCCATTTATGGTGAATTTTCCCCGAGACTTGAATGTGAAAGAACTATCTTTGATGCCTGGTTATTTTAAAAATTACTAGTGTAAGGAGTTTAATGTTCTCAACCACTGGTTTCTCATAATAATGCCTACCTCATGGAATAAATAAAGCCAGGGTTATGAGAATGCTTTTTATACTAAAACTGTAGGAGAGGTCACTTTTATTAATTTGTGCAGGGTACCATGCTAGAGACGGTTGATAGTTTAGGTAAAGGTGGTATAGCCAGGAGGGAGAAAGATTTTATTTTTAAAACGTTGAGTGTGAAAAGTGCCAACTCTGGTAGGTGCCAACTGTGGTGTACGAGTCAGGGGAAGCTGAAAGGTGCCACGCTTCAGGTCTTCTGTGACCATTGCTGCCCAGTGACTGGAGAGAAGACCATACTGCGTGGTTGGGAGTCAGGTTTCAGATGATCTGTCTTCTGCTCCGGACAAACCCTAAGCAGAGGAAGGGAGTGAGTTCTGGAATTCAGCAGAATATCTCTACTTGTTGGGTCCTGTGTGTTTCCAGATCTGAACCGGGAGGCACTGGGCATGGCACGACGTCATGGACTAACATTATCATCATTTACAATAAGAATCACGATCTGTTTATGGCAGAGTCCCGCTTATCCAGATTCCAAACAGCTGGGAAGGACAAATTACCAGATGCTGCGTTTTTCTTTCTTATTATTAAACACCAGACACTGCTTTTATAAGTTCTGACGAGGAAAGAAGGTAAACATCTGGGCTTTCCGCGGGTGGACAGCTTTGTGGCGATGGCCGATGATGCTTATTCGCTGTGCACAGCACTTTACAGTTGTTGGAGTTTTTCCACACCTTCCCTCATCAGTCTCTGCCTACCCTGAAGGCTCTTCCAAAGGAACAGATGAAGAAGTGGCTTTGCGTCTATAAAGTGCAGGGCAGGTACTGGCTCTTGTTGACACGACTCCCATTTTATAGATGAACACATATAGGTTCAGGGATTTGATCGTATCTATCTACAGACAGTTAAGTGGCAGTTTGGGAGGATACCAGCTCCAGATATTTGATTCTGGTTCCATAGCTTGTACCTTCTATACACGTGTGCTGGTGGCCCAGAGCGGATGTATGTAACCAAGGCCTCGTGAATATTCCCAGAGAATTTAAAACGTCTTGCTTTTGATATTTCTTCTGTCTTGAAGTTTTGGAAATTGGTAACCGGTCTTTATGCCATGTCTAGAAAACTTTGTAGTTTACCAGATGATTACATGTGTCCAAAACCCAGATAATGAGGTCACTATTTAATTCATAGCGTCTCCCTGGACCCTTTCCACCACATCCCGAGACTGCATACATCCTAGCAAAGAAGGAGACTGATAGTCACTATGAACATGAACTCTACCATTAGTAAAAATAGCTGCCGGGACATGGCTGTAAATATCAGGAAGTACTGAACCTTGTACCAAATAAATAAATAAATGAATAAATAAGTCTCTGAAAAGAAAGAAAAAGAGAAGGAGGAAAGCAGTTGTAGGTTGTGTGTATGGACATCAGGGCTGGCGGTGGTGGGACATCATGGTTTTGGTGTTATTACCTGGTTGAGTTTCTCCATCTGAGCAAGTAGCCAGTGAGATGTGCCGGGGAGGTTTGGAGAGGCCAGCGCATCCGTAATAGAAAGGTATGAGTTATTTTTAAAGCATTTCCCCCCTCCGGCTCTGGTGGGCAATTTGCTTGCATTTCATCCATTTTAAAGTGCTGGTCCTGTGATCCGGAAATAATCAGATCCAAATTTTTTTCAGTGCTTGAGGTTTCAAATAAGGGGGAGAAAAAAAACCTGCTGGCCAAATGTCAGGCTCAGTGAGACAAAAGAGAAACAAGTATGTGTGTGGGTATACAAATGAGATAGGAGCATGTTGCGTCTACAGTCATGAGAGTTATGTATCCGACAAATCTTTTATAGACATGTAGCGGAAATATAATTCCCCAAGATTCCCTAAGAATCTTGTGTGGCTAGAATTTCTCTTCCCTTCCTGCCTCCCCAGCTCTCTAGAAGCTGCTAAGACTTGGCGGGCAAAATGGAAAGGGAATCATCACACGAGATCGTGACTTAATTTAAGGCCCTGTTTCTCTGTCATTTACCTGTGGCTCTCAGCTGGTCGAGGTCCTGGGACGCTCCTGGGTGTGGAAGCAGAGTTGCTGTGTTTGTGCAAATTTCTTTGTATGCTGTGGTTTTTCTTCACACTTCTTCTAGGGGGAAAAAGAAAAGACAAAAAAACCCATCCCATCTCCAGTTATTCATCTCCTTGCGTTTCATTTGCGTGAGAAGCCAAGTTCGCCGGCACACTTATTTTTACAGTGCGTTAAAATCCCATTATAGGCATAAGTGCACAATGAATCATTTAAAAAATATACTCTTATGTTCTTTGTTCTGGATGTTGCATAATTATCATCATTTTCTTCGGTTTTATTTTGTGGAGTTTGGCCAGCATCCTAGAAGAGAGGAGAGACTAAAGTTTGGAAAAGTTTTTCAATCCTTTTTTGGGTAGGATTAGAAACAACAACAACAAACAAATAAACTTTTTTTTTTTTTTTTTTGAAGCTACCCAGTGGCTATCACTAACCGTGGCTTTTTCATCAAGAAGATAATTTCTCTTCCTTCTCTCAGTTTTCTTGGAAAGGAATTCCCTGTTTGGAAACCAACATGGTGGGACTTCAGTAACTTC